GTGTAGGGTTTCCAAGGAGCAGCTGGTGAGCTTGAACCCCTGACCTTGCAGTTCAAATGACTTTGCAGCCCAGTGCATTAACCCACAGCGCCACACCAGGACTTCTAATAAGTGCATTGCTGTTGTAAAGTGCCGTGGAGTCGGTTCTGACCCATAGTGACCCTGTATAGGGTTTCCGAGGAGCAGCTGGTGAGCTTGAACCGCTGACTTTACAGTTCAAAGGGCTTTGCAGTCTAGTCCGGGCATTAACCCACAGCGCCACACCAGGACTCCGTTAAGTGTAGTGTTGCTATCGTGTGCTGTGGAGTCGGTTCCGACTCATAGTGACCCTGTACAGGGTTTCCAAGGCTGTAAATCTTTACGGGAGCAGAAAGCCTCATGTTTCTCCTGCGGAACAGCTGGTAGTTTCTAACTGCTGACCGTGAGATTAGCAGCCCGATTTGTAACCCCTACGCTACCAGAGCTCCTTGTTAAGTGCATTGTTGTTGTTGTTAAGTGCCGTCAAGTCGATTCTGACCCATAGCGACCCTGTATATGGTTTCCAAGGAGCAGCTGGTGAGCTTGAACCACTAACCTTGCAATTCAAACGGCTTTGCAGTCTGACGCATTAACCCATAGGGCCACACCAGGACTCTGTTAAGTGTTATTATTACTGTTGTGGTTGTTAAATACCATGGAGTCAGTTCCTACTCATAGTGACCCTGCACAGGGTTTCCAAGGCTGTACATCTTTACGGGAGCAGAAAGCCTCATCTTTTTCCTGCAGAACAGCTGGCAGTTTCGAACTGCTCACCTTAAGGTTCACAGCCCGATTCGTAACCACTACGCTACCAGAGTTCCTTTTATTAGAACTTTCACAAAGTACATTTTAGGTATACTGACACCTGTAAGTTGGGCTTGCAAGACATGTTTTTGATGTAATAAGTAATGACAGATGTTTTTATAAATAATCTCTGCTGAAACACTGCAGCGTATCTTTAGAGATAGCATTTTGGTCTCACCCGGTCTGACAGCTCCACCAGGTGGGTCTGCACCCCCTCACCGCCCCCGCCCCCCAGTGTCACCACGGGTGAAAGACATCCATGTACAGAGGGGTGTAGCTTTGGGACCCAGGGGCTTCCAGAAGCCTGTGCATCTCCCCAGGTGTGTCCTTTTGATGCTATAAGGCAGTGAAGCAGGGCTGAGGGCATGGGTATGGTGAAGCCGGGCAGAGGGGCTGTCTTAGAGAAGTGCAGTGGGGCTCTGGGAGGCCAGAGTGTCTCTCTCCCAAGTTCCTCAAAGGCCACTGCCCATGGGCACCAAGTGGCCAGGCCCTTGGTGACAGGCCTTTTGTGCACACGGCACCTTCCAGCCTTTGGGTGTCCCCCCTACCCCATTAGAAGTCGCCCCTGGAGGAGGCCGGCACTTCCTAAATGCTGAAGGAGAACGCCCCCCTCTGAATGGGCACAAAGCAACTCCCACTGTGCTGTGGGCATGACCTTAGGGGTACACACAGGACCCCGCAGCTCCGAGCCTGACCCCCAAGGTCACAGAGCCAGGGTCCCTCAGACTTGAGTCTTGCTGACTAGAGACCAAGCTTGCTGGCATCTTTCCTGGATGCTGGTCACTACCCCCAACCCCTTGGTGAGGGCATGGGTGAATTGTAGGTTCACTGTGCCTGCCCCCAGCATCCCCCAGGCTGTGATTCACCCCAAGCAAACAGCAGCTTACACTGAAGGGATGAGACTCAGCCCTTATTTGCCTTTCTCTCTGTAAACACCGAGGAGGGTGGTTGGTGAGAATGTGAGTGGGACATGTCCCAGGGTGGGTGGTGGGCTCACTTTCCCCCTCTTCCCAGGGATGCCTGCAGCCCCTGCCCCCCGCAGCACTGGCTCTCAACCAGAGGACACCCCGGTGGGTGGAGGTCAGAGATCCCAGCTCAGGGGGCAGCCCTGCTGGCCACCCTTTCCCAGCCCAAGGAAACAAACGGACAGGCCACCACACGGGGGTTTTACCAATTTTATTTCTAGACTTGACATGTTTGTCTTTTGCTTTCACCAAACGTGTTGGTTACATGACAGGGCGGGGAGCGGTGTGCATGCGGCCCTGTGGCAGCCGCCGCCACCAACCGTAACACAGAAGACGCACGCAGCCCGAGCCCCCTGAGGGCAGGGAGACCCCCACCCCACGCCTGCCACTACGGAACCCTGTTTGGTTCTGAGAAGCCGCAGCCGGGTGGTTCTGAGGTAAGCGTTAGCAGTGTTCCTGGAGGGGGCGGGCAGGGTCCGGCCCCGAGGGCCCACTGATGCGCCCACTCTTTTGGTTTGGACCCACGGTGCTGTCAGCCAGCTGGCTTCATGGAGAGCTGGAGTCTCTTTAGAGTTGGCGTTGCGACATCATCAACACAACCACAAAGAGACACACTAGCACTTCCAAACAGACCACACACGGCCTAGACCGGGCTCTGCATCCAGGCGGCCACTAGCCACCCGTGACATCCTGCGTCAGGGGAGGACGCCGCCCGCCGCCTGTCCGCGAGTTTGCTGAAGCGGGAGGCCATGGGCCAGAACCTGACCTCCGGGTCTACACATGGCTAAGTGAAGCATGAGGTATTGTAAAATAGGAACCGTTTTTTTTTTGTTGTTGTTGTTTTTTGTTTTTTTCTTTTTTTGGAATAGAGCAATAATCACATATTGATCACATTTAAAAAAACAAAACAAAACTAAAAAAAAAACAAAACAACTCTACAAAAAAAAAAAAAAAAAAAAAAGGCATCCGTAATACAATTTTCTATGAGAAAATTAAAACCTTAGAACCTGGCAGTAAATGACATCGTAAAACAAGACAAATGATCCGCCCATAGCAGCAAAACAATGTGAAAGAGACAAGAAAAGCGTGTGAGTCTGTTTCCAAACCACACTGGGAAGCATGGGTAGCAACGCAGTCAGAATGCGAGCCACCCCTGGGCCTGGGCCTGGCCGGCCGACATCACCCCATCCTCATACACGTCCCCCCTCAATCCCCTCTTCAAGCATCAGCCTCAACGCTCACACCACCTCCCTTCAACACTCCCTACATAATAATTACACCATATGCCAAACCAGGATGTGCAAATTGCCCTACAGTCGTTAAACCTTCCTGGAAAAGGAGGTGGGGGAGAGCATCTCAGAACTGAACTCGTTTCAAATACACTAATCTGGAACCGAACCCGCCTCAAAGATGCCGATTTGGAACTGAACTTAACTGGCTTCAAGTATGAGAATTTGGAACCGAACTCATTTCAAATCCACTGAAATTCCTACCGAACCCGCCACTTACATATCTGACCACTTTGAGAAAGAAACACCAAGACGGCCGAATCCACTTCTATGTGTGGCTTTTCTTGTCTTTTTTTCTTTTTCTTGTCTAGGGAAAAGAAAACCTATCTTTTACAACAATGAAAAAAAAAATTTTTATATGAGATCTGCAACATCCGAGGCAGAAGATGTGTATGTGTTTTAAATCAAGGGGGAGATTGCATTACTTTATGAATCATACTGGCCTTGTAGAATATCCTGTGCAATAAATATTCTTTTTTAGCCTTAACTATAAATTATATATTTTAGTGTTTAAAAACCTTCAGCTGTAAAACATCTAAAGATAATCCTTAAACTATGTGCTGTCTAGGTCAACCTTCAAGGTCCCTACTTTCCAACACCAGTTGGCACCAAAAGATGTCTAAACTTCAACTTGTCTACAGAAAAGGAAAGGAATGTATCTCGGCAATGTGAGTATGAACTCTTGTTCTGTGGACAGAACATAGCCTTCAAAAATCACCTCCTTCGGCCAACGCCCTTGCCCCTACGATCCTGTTTGCACATAAGTACATGACCTTTCCCAAACCATTCCATTAAAAACAAAACAAAACTGCCATCCCCTCCCCAGCCCTCCCCGCACACAAACAAACAGCTATTCCTTAGAACCGCAACTGAACTGAAAGTGCTCTGAAATGGAATGGTTTTAGAATACTGGAGAGAGAAGAGAAAGAAAGAAACATCCCAAAAAACCCAAAAGATGTAGCTGAGTAGCTGTGGATCTTTAACCTGGCTGTGAACAGTTACAGGTGCGTTGAGTGAGAAAAACAAACAAACAAACAAAAAATAAACCAAAACAAAATGAAAAAGAAACCCAGCGTTTCATCAACAGGTTAACTACAAAAATACGAAGATTATAAAAATAGAATATATTATGTCACTATTTTGTTTTCTCTTAGCGTATCGGAGGACGCTAACCAAAGGGGCTCCAGCAATCGCGGATAAAGTTGAGGATGTTACATGCCTACCTAAGAAATCAAATAAACACGTACAAATGACTTTTAAAGTGACTACATGCAAAAGCAAGCGATATATAGAAAGGCCTAAAACCACGTTAAAACCGTGCTGCTCTTGAGGATAAGCACAAGAATATGTTTCTACCTAAAATCCTTTTCTTCTACTTTAAAAATCGTTTATTGGCATTTTCGTAACTTTTTTTTTTTTTAAAAAAAGGTTTTTATACTTTTTTTTTCCTTTTCTCTCTTTAAAATACATTAAAAGAAAAAACAAAAAATCAACCCTAAGTCCTCCCTGGAAACACTTCCTTTGTGTTATCCATGCCTATTCTTATAACACAAACCCATTAATATAAAAACTAGTGATTATTGGGATATAAAATCTAGCGTCTTAGCACCCCCTCCCCTATTCAGGGGTATGCAAATAACTTTTTGTTTTTTAAAGACAGTTTGGGGGTAACTTTTTTTTTTTTCTTTTGCTGATGTCATAGATGGTAGAGAGAAAGAACAAAAAAAAATAAAAAACGTAAAAACAAACGAACAAAAATCAGAAAGGAGAATGAAGCTTTCCTTCTGGCGGCGGAATGATCCCGAGAAGTGTGATGCTGTTGGGGACCACCAGGTTACTCCTCCTCTGGAGAGGGGACACCTCTTGGTGGGGTGCTGGCTGCGGTGGCGGTGGATGGCGCCCGCCTGCCCGCGGCCCGCTGCCCTCAAATGTTCACATCCCGCACGTCGGTGGGGGTGCACGCCAAGCCCACTTCCTCCTCCTCCTCTTCCTCCTCTTCAGCAGCCTTGGGGTCCAGGTTCTGCTGCTGGGCTTGGCGCAGACTGGACTCCAGCAAGGCTTCTATCTGCTCCTGGCAGGCCCGGAGACAGTCCTGCGAGACACCGGGCAAGAAAACGGGGCTCAGTGAGGTCCAAGCTGGTCTCCTCTCCCCTCCCCAGGCTAAGAGAAGTGGGGTTCTAGGGACCCTGGAGGTAGTGCCCAGCTCCCATGCAGGCAGGGAGGGCACAAAAGGCCCTATTTACAGATGAGAAAACCGAGGTCCTGGGTGCTGCTCCAGGCCACGGCACCCTTTGGCCCACCTCTAGGCCTCAAGCATGCAACGTCAAGGGCTCCTGGAAGGCTGAGCTGCCATGGAGGTCCAGCTGCCCTCTGGTCCCCGCTTCCTCTTCCTAGTTGCCCAACACTGTGAGATCGCTGGTTTCCACATCCTCCCCTGGGGTCTTTTGGCTCCCCCTCCACCCAGGCCCTCCGCAGTAGAGGGTGCCGTTCCCCACACTGCCTGCAGGTGGCGCCTGTGGAGTTGCAGGAATCGTTTGCTCCTGGCCTTGTGTGCAAGTGCGCCTGGGATTCAAAGCCCACATAGTATTGCACTCTGGCCCAGGGGTTCTCCTGGAGGCTTTTAAAGCCCCGTGTTGTTAGAAAGCTGCAGGAAGTAGGGAGCCTGCTCTGCCTGTACCCCACATCCCCAGATGAGCCGCAGGGCAGTCAGTGTGGGAGGGTGGGGACCACCATCCAGAAAGGGAGCGCATTGACCAGGTTCTCATTTTTCCGCCAGAAGTGCCAATGGGGCGCGCACACGCCTTGGAAACCCTATGCAGGGTGGCTATGGGTAAGAACCCACTGACAGTACTTAACAACAGGAAGAGAAAGGGCTGGGGAATAAAGAGTGACCTGTGGAGGAAGAAAGAGCAGGCTGACTCCGGGGTCTGCAGGGCAGCCTCTCAAAGGGGGGCGGGAAAACAAGGTCTCTGGTGGAGTCATTGCCCAGCGCTCCACGCCTCACGGGGGCGCGGTGACGGCAGTCTTTATTGGCCACACACATTATTACCCAGATAAAGCTCACTGGAGGCTGGACCTCACTGACTCAGGATAGGGATGGGACTGCCTTGTGGCCCAGCTTCCCCAAAGGGTCACTCTCGTGAAGGGCTACATGAGACTACCTGAGGGGCCCTTCCTGGAAAGTTCTGGAAGGTACTGGGCTTTGCAAAGGAGCCCCTTTCAGAGATCGGAGGTATCAGCCCTGTGGGGCCAACACAATCATTTAGGCACAGGGAGGCCTTGGCTGTGGTCCATGGGTCCAAGAGGACCTGCCAACATGTCTCCTGTGTCCTCACCGAGTCTCCTCTGCCCCTGAACATGGCCAGCACCTGCCCTGTGCCCAGTGTTGACCCACTGCACCATCAGACCCCGGGTGCCCACATCCGTGTGCCTAGTGCAGCTGCCACTACTCACCGGGTCACACTTGATGACTTTGGAGAGGAACCGTGTGAGGCGATGGTAGGACAGGAGGCTGTTGGTGCTGCCCAGGTGGAGGCCCTCGACCGCAGCTACCACGCTCCCCGCGGCCACCATGGAGGGCGGGTTGGAAATGAACTTCACATCTGTGGGACACAGGGAGAGAGATGCAGGACCCATGAAGAGGGTGCAGTGACTTCTTAGGGTCTCCAGGCACCCTACGCAAAGGGCCTGGCTGGGAGTGCACCCCGAATGTTCAGAGTGGTCACCCACACGCAGACGTCAAAGTGCTGCGGCCACACGCAGACCTGCCTGCTAAAAACACAGCTGATGGGCACAGGGGCCGCCAGGCCAGATGCCCTTCTGCCCCCAGCCTTGGGAGCCCCGGTGGTTGAGTGTATCACCTGAAACACTAAAGGAACATGAGCCCACAAGATGTCGCCTCTCAAATTCTTCACCAAACTACAAAACTAGCACCCTTTGAGTGGACCGGGGTCCTTGAGTGGGGAGAACTATGCTCCATGGGGTTTTCAATGGTGGGTTTCTTGGAAGTAGATAGTCGAACCTTTCTTTGGAAGCACTTCTGGGTGGCTGGGAACAGTTAACCTTTTGATGTGTCCTCGAGCACAGCTCTGACCCTAACTTAAGTAGCAGTACAAACCCCACCTCCACCCTGAGGATAGAGCTCAACCCTTCCCTCCAGGGGAAGGGGGCCCCCCCAGTCTACGCTAGCCCCTCTGCTTAGGGAGCCGTGACCAAAGGTTTTCCAGCATGTAAGTATTTCATTTATCCTGAGGAAGGGTTGGTGGTGGGTTTGAACCGCCGACTTCATGGTTAGTAGTCTAATGCCTAACCCACTGCACCACCAGGCTCCTTGGGGGTAGCAGGGTGATTCTAGCGATCACTGTGTTCCCCCAGTTAGGGACATGGGACAATCTACATCTGGTGACTGTGTACCATGAGAAAAGACCGACTAGGGTCACAGCCAGACAGGGGGCCCCACTTGTCCCTCCTGGGACTGGTGGCCTGGTGCTGGCTGTATGGGTCCTGCCCCCCACCCCCCATGCCTCCTGACCCAGGTCTGCTCCAGCTCCACGCAACTGGCTGACATCACATGCCCCTCTCCCAGCCCCCTCAGGGTCTTGGGAAACATGGGGCACACATCCCACTTGGCCCAGTTCCAGATGGGCCTCATCTTCTCTCAGGACACTGCGGCCAGTCAGGTAGCTGGTCCAGAGACCCTCAAAGGGCCCTGGCCCTCAGAAATGCCACACATACACTCAGGAATACCAGTAGAGAAAAACAGCTGACCCCGCACTGCATGGGGACTACAGGGTGGAGCCACTCAGCCTGTCCCCCCCACGTCACACCAGACAAACTCGGGTGCTGCCTGACCCCACGTGGACCTGGTCACCAAACATACCTAGTGGCATCTTTGCTGGCCCCCTCGCCTCATCTTGTACTACTACCATGAATGGAGCCAGGCTGGTTGGCCGGCACAAATTGGGAAAGCGGCAGGACCAGTGTGCTCCCGGCACACCAGGACTGTATCCCAGAGTGGGGGGTGCTGATGAGGTAGCCGGGCAGAGGATAAAGCTGGCTTCTGGGTGCTGTATCAACTGAAAAAAGGACCCCCTAACTGTGGCACTGTGGATTAATGCACCAGACTGCAAAGCCATTTGAACCGCAAGGTCAGTGGTTCAAACTCACCAGCTGCTCCTCGGAAACCCTAAACAGGGTTTGCTATGGGTTGGAACTGACTCCACGGCACTTAACTAGGCAACTGAGCTGTGGCTCTGTAGGATAAGCACTTGACCGCAAGGTCAGTTTGAGCCACCCTTGGAGGGTCAAACCCACCATTCGCTCCTTGGAAACCCTATCTATACAGGGTTGTTATGAGTCGAAACCAACTCGATGGCATGTAATGAGGCGACTTAGCTAAAACACAAGGGCACTGGTTCAAGTCACCAGTTACTCTGTGGCAGGATGGGGATTTCTGCTCCTGTAAAGATTTGTAGCCTCTGAAACACAACCCTACCCAGGGTCACTGTGACTGCATGGTTGTTTCTTTAACTGGGTGAGTCAGTCCCTGGTGTTTTCCAAGGTCCCCCGCTGTAGTAGAGGGGATGGGGTGAGAGAGGCCTCATGTTTAGGTAAGCAGGCACGATATTCCAACACTCATCCCTAATTCATGGTCTTAGGAGCCCTGGTGTGGCAGTGGGTAATGTTTGAGCCCATTAGCCATTCAGAGGGGGGAAATGTGGCAGGCCAATATTTCAGGATTTATACCTGCACAGTGGAGGGACACGGCCCTGCTGTCTGGTAACACTAAGCCGGTGGTAACTTCCAACACGGCTGGCAATCCATCTTCCTACCTTACGGTACACACAGACAGGTCTGTCTGACCGTGTTGTCTGTCTAATCTATCTACTCACCTATCTACCAGTTATCAGAGTGGATTCGGACCCCTGGTGACCTCCCCTGGAGCAGTGAGCTGTGTCCGGTTTTTTGAAAGCAGACCATCAGGCCTTCCCTTCGAGGTCCCGTCTTGGGTCAGCTTTGGCAAGAATTATATGCACACATACATAGTGCAGCCGGTTAAGCGCTCTGACATTAGCCAAAAGGTTGGCAGTTCGAATCCACCCACAGGCCCCTCGGAAGTAAGGCCTGGAGGTCTGCTTGCGGAAGGCCACTGCCACACAACCCTGTGGAGCACGGCGTGACTCTGACACCCAGGGGGTCGCCAGGAGTTAGAACTAACTTGGTGTCAATGGCAGTAGTATGTGTGCTGTGTATCTACTTACTCACCTATCTACCAGTTACCAGAGTGGATTCGGACTCTTGGTGATCTCACCTGGAGCAGTGAGCTGTGTTGGGTCTTTTGAAAGCTGACCATCAGGTACACATAGTGTGTGTACCCACAAACCCAGCACAGAGCAGACCCCCTAAACAGAACCCTGACTCCGAGGAGGGAAGGCTGCGCATCTTCTCAGGGGCTCCCTTCTGCCCCTCTTCCCCTTGCAGTTTGTGCCTCCACAATCATTCAGGGTGTGAGATAGGCCAGAGCCAACCCCCAACTCCATTGTGGGTGCATCCAAGCGTCTGGAGCGGAGCTACATCCCAGCCTAAGGACTCTGATTATCAGCATGAAAGCTCTGTTAGCAGACCCCCATCCACCCTGCTGACTTCCCAGAGCCCAGGGAAGGTGCTCAGAGCTGAACCACCACATTCTCCTGGATGTATCACTGGGAAACTTTGCCCTATCTCTAAAACCACTCAGAGTTCCATAAAAGGGCGCAGAAGGCCTCTCTCCTTGCAGGCGCCCCAGCCAGCCAGAGCCTTCTGCCCAAAGTGGCCACAGAGATGTGTGGGAGTCTTCCCCAACCCCATGGGGCTGAGGGTAGGAAGGCGGGAGGGGCTGCCCTAAGGTTCACCTCCACCTCCCGCCCAAGATGTCTGTACTTGGTGTGTTCCTCTGTACCACCCCCTCAGCCCCGGGCAGAGCCTCTAAACACCCTGAGGAGACTGCAGACGGTCCCAGCTCTGGTCCAAGTGAAATGTTCTGGGGAGCCTCTCCCACCAGGGCTGAGCCAGGCAGCAGAATGAAGCCTCCATGTCAGCCCTGGGAGCTTTGTCCCTTTGGAGAGGATAGGAGAAGACTTTCAAGCACCCTCTTCTTTGGTGCCCTCTGATCTTACAAGTGAGTTCCTCTCAACTGTGAATGCTGCGCCCCACTGGGGAGGCACTTGGGTCCCAGTCCACTATGAGAGGCGGCCATGGGCTGGGCTGTGGAGCGGGCAGGAGGCCGGATCTCAGGGGCCAATGAAAGCCCCTCCCAGGCCCAGCAGAGCTGAGCGGCCGCCCCCACATGTGGGGCCCAGCTTGGGAGAGGCTGGGAGTCCCCTTCATCCCCCAGGCCCCTTGAGGACGAGGGAAGGGCTGGAAGTGGGGGTTTGGCAGGGGCAAAGAGGCTAGCCTGCTGCCTAAGTAAACCCTTTCCAGATCGAGTGACCGCAGCTGCATCCCAAAGCTCAGACATTGCATGGTGGGCGTGACCAAGGGGACACCCCCTTTTCACTTTCCTGGTGCTCCAAAAGGGGAGACGGAGCAGGAGCAGAGAGAGAGCAGTGTGTGTGTGTGGTCTGTACTACGATGGGGAAACTAAGGCCAAGAGGGAGAGGCGGGGTGAGGAAGGAGAGGGGCTGCCCCTGAGCCTTACCTGTGGCACAGAGAGCCACGAACGTCTGAGCGTGTTTGCGGATGATCTGCTTGTTCTCAGGGGCCACCGGCATCTTGGACAGGAAGTGCTGGATGAAATCGTGGGGGGTCATGGCGGCCAAGTTCCACTTGAGTTTGTTCACCAGAATTAGCTCCATTTGCTGTGGAGAGGGAGCAAGGCCGGCAGAGAAAGAGGAGCTCAGCGTTGGCACAGGGGGGCCTGGGATGGGGGCCAGGAGCCGGGTGGAGGAAGGACCCGGCCTGTGGATAGGTCCAGGAATTGGGGTGAGGAACAGACAACCCGGATCAAAACAGAGAAGGTGTCACGTGAAAAGGCCCCAGCGCTCATTATCATTAAAGCCAACTGTTAGCAAGTGGAGACAAAAAGACCTCCCACCAACTGGAACCAAAGGCCTTATTAATTAGCGCGGCGGCCTGTGTGCGTCGCTACCGCTAGAGGGCGCGCGCCGCCTACTTTTCGCTTGCGCTCCCGGGCGCAAACGTGGTCGCATGTGCGATGTGGGGCGGCGGGCGTGGAGGTGGGGGGCGGACGGGAAAACTGCTGCCTCCTGTTCCCAGGGGTAGCCCCTAACCCCCAAGCAGTGTGGCCGCCCTTTCTTGGGGTCGACGATCTGTAAGTGGCTAGCAACGCCTCTCTGCCACCCCCACCCCCGGGGTCGTGGGGGGTCTCCCGGTTACCAGCAGCTCCTCGGGCTGGATGGAGTTGTCGGTGTAGATGCACAGTTTCTCGGCCGTCAGGGGGATGGTCTCCTTCATCTTAGAAGCCACGAACATACAAGTGGCCCCTAGCAGTTGCAGACGACTCTTCTTCACCGGCTCCAAAGACAGGAAGCGGTCCAGGTAGTTCACGGCCAGCGGGAAGACCTCCTCCTCACATTTTTGCTCCTCGCAGACCTGTAGGAGCGCGGGGGCCGTGACCACCGCAGCCGGGCGCGTGGAGGGATACTCCCGCCCGGCGTCCCCGTGCGCCCACCCCGCGCGCGCCCGGGAGGCACCCGGCGGGGGGTGGCAGGAGCCTCCGATGACGCGTCCCCGCCCCCGCGCACCCACCCAGCCCCGAAACTGAAAGGGAAAGTCCCGCGTGGCTGGCACAGTGGGGGCGGGAGCAGGCACCGCGGGCGGCGTGGGCGGCAGCGCGGTACCGGGACCCGGGCCCACCTGGGGGGCTCCAGGGGTCCTCTCCTGGCCGGCAGCCCATACCAAAAGGGCCGAGGGGCGGGCCACGGGGCTGGGCGCCGCGTCCGCGAGACACAAAGGTGGCGTCCCAGGCCGCCGCGGCGCATTTCCCCAGACGTCATCTTTTCAAAAAATATTTAAAAATATTAAAAAAATAAGTGGGTGCATAAAAAATCTCTGAAAATGACCCTCGAGCGGCCCTTTACCTGGGACGAGGCTCGGGAGCTCGGTGCGGGCTCCAGGGAGCGCCCCAGGGACTCAAATTCGGGGGCACCCCTTCCCCCTGGGCGCGAGCGCGGATTCTCTCTCGCAAGGGCACTACGCCGCACTTTCAAAAATTATTTAAAAATACTCCCGGATCCCCCAGACGCCCACCGTGGGGCTGAAAATGTGCTTTGGGCACTCGACTGGCTCTGGGCAGGTCCCCCAAGCCAAACCCCTTGTAGACTAGAGTCAATTCCTAGAGACTTGGGGGCCACGCGACCTTGCAGCACGGCATGTTCTCCGGATCAGCCTGGTCATGCCCGGCGCCCCCGGGGCTCGTTACTTGAACAAAGGGTCCCCCCTCTCCGCGCAGGGTCCCCCCAGAACTGCCCACACCCGGTCCCCGCGCCCCTCCCGCTGGCTCCTGGCGACCGCGCAGCCCCTCGCCGCGGCCCCAGCGCCTGGCCGGCTGCTCCCCGCCCCCACCCTCTCCCAATTATTAATAAACACTTTTGCTTTGCAATAAAAGAACAAAGATGGCGCATAATACTGGCACGGGTGGCCCTTGCATACGTGTCCAAGGATATTAACTTAAAAAATCAAATCGATACCCCCTCCCACCGGGGCCGGCGCCCGGGGCTACGTCGGCCTGGAGACGAGGCGCGGACGCAGGCAGGGGGCTGCGCGGTGGCGGCCAGACAGGGACACCAAAGGCACCCAGCCTGCCGACCCGCACCTTTGAGCACATTCGGGTGCTCCGGGCACTCGCTTCCCCGAAGGCACCCCTTCCGGAGCCCTACATTCCAAGGAAAAAGGTTAATTTGAACGTCCCCACCCCCATCCCCATTTCTTCCTGGTTAAGCTAAATACCCACAAAATCTGTTTCTTTAGAAAAGAGGAATTCCTTGAAACTCCGTCGGCGATCTGGAAAGTTGGGGTGTGGGGGCGAGTTGGGGGGAGAAGCAGTTTGGATTTAGGCAACTCGTCGCAGAAAAGTCCCTACAGCGCCACGCACCTCCAACATCCAGGTGGCCACGATCTTGCGCATCGACGGCAGGATCTCCTTTTGCACGCACTTGAAGTAGGAGACGGAGGGCGCGCAGGTCTCCTCGGCTTTGAGCATGGCCTGAAGCACCCGGTCGTTGAGGAGGTTGGCATCGGGGTACGCGCGGCGGATGGTCTCCACCTCACAGCACATTAGCTGTTGCTCCATGAGGCTGGGCTGGGCTGGCTGCTGGGCTCCGGCTCCCGCTTGGTCCGCGCGCTCGGCGTTGCTCCTCCCGCTGCCCCGCGCTCCCTCGCCCTGGTCTGCCCCTAGCCGGAGCGCGCGGCCGCTGCTGCTCGCTGCTACTGCGTCGACAGCCCTCTGGAGGCTCCAGGACTTTGCAACTTCCAACAAAACTCCCCTATAGTCCTTGTGACGTTACTGTTGTTAAGCAGAGATCAAAGCTGGGCAGAGAATGGGAGGGGGGGCTGGGGGCGGGGCGGGCGTAGGGGGAGGGGGCGCGGGCCAAGTGCCGGGGAGAAGCGAGGGGCAGAGCCTGCCCCGCGGGAGAGCCCCCCTTAAGACGGGTTTTCATAGAAATGCAAATCGCCCCTCTTCTGCTTTTCTCCCCTCAGGGAAGAGGGGTTCAGGGGGACTCATTCGCTCTAAGTGTGTCCCTTGAGATTTGGGAAGGGGGCTTTGCGGGGGGGGGGCAACAAGGAGGGCGGGCAAGGCCACACGCAGCCGAAGGAGACCGCAGGGAAGTGGGGAGACTCCGGGGGCTCGGTGACACCCTATATCCGAATCGGAAAAATGGGCACATTTCCGAGGACGCCACGAGAGCACCCACGGGCGGAGGGAGAGTAATGAAATCACGGCTCGGCCTTTTCTTTCATTTTCAGAACACGTGTAAATTTCAGGAACTGTTTAACTCACGGGACACGGGGCAGGATCCTGGTGGTGCCTTCCTTCCGAGCATTGGGGGTCGCTGAAAATGCCCTAAACGTTAAATAAAGGTGCTTGCTTCAGCTTAGCACACGCTTCCTCAAAAAATAAAATAAGTTCCCGAAAATTCCAGCAGCATCCCAAGATGGTGACCAACATTTCCCTCATCTTGTCCTGTTCGTCTGGGGTGCCCGGGGGCTGCCCCCTCTTTTGGCAAGTCCACCCTTGTGGGGGTCGCCAAAAGTTCCCTCCCCCCAGTCCCGACATTTCAACAGTGGGAAAAATCTCTCGGAATGGAAGGCTGCGAAACTGGGGTCTCTGTCTAGGCTCATTTTCTAAATTAAGAAAGAAATAAAATAGCTGGAAATATTAGTCGCTTTTCGGCCTGGGACGAGAACACCGGAACATTTCTAATTGGTTTTGGTGGAGGTGTGGAAGTCTCTTCCACTTGAGAATTTGCCGTGGGGCTGGCAAAAATTCGAACAATGGAAAAGGTAGAGAAATATGGGAATATGGGGCTGATGGTTTTAATCAAAATCTATATAGGATCTTGGTGATAGGATCGGGTCCCCGATATTAATTCAAACATAAGAGAGACTCAAATGAAAAAAATATATAATAATAGTGTTTTTATTTTTTATGGCGTAGTCTATTTGGTGCTTTTTAAAAACTAAAGGCTATCTTATCCAATCTTAACATTTTTAGTTTTTACACTACCTGTCCCAAATCTAGAAAATTATTCATCTGCGTTCTTTCTGAATACAGTTCAGTGTCCCCAAACCACCGAACCCCTTAACAATCAAAGGGGAGTAAGAAAACAGAATTGTCAGAAAGTCTTCTTTGCAAGGGCCCCCGCCTCAAGTGAAGGCGCCCCCTGGCAAGGGGGGGGGGTCCTCCCATGCCCCATCCCCCGCTGGAATAAGGGTGGCTAATATTCCGGGCCTGGGAGAGTCACTGACCCCCCGAGGCAGTGGATGATTGGGCAGTGCGCGCCCACTTCAGTGCCCTCTCCCCGGGCACCCACGCCCCAGCCAGCCCCCGACACCGCAGCAGCAGCCAGCGCACGAGGGCGGCCAGGCGGCTTTTCATTCATAAAATCCCAACCGGGCGGCCGCCGGATGATTTATGGGGCCGCGCGCCCTCACCGGCGGCTCTGTCCCGAGGGTCCGGGGACTCGCGTTCCCATGTGCGCCCCTGCCTGGCCAGAGACGCGAGCCACCGGCGTCGGCGAGGGGCAGCGGGGCATAAGGAAAATCGCCCACTCCGGTCATTCGGACTCCCGAGTCGGGAGGGAGCTGCACCCCCACCGGGAGAAAGAGAGGAAACTGGAATTAGCATGAACCAATGGGGGCGCGGCGCTGTTACTAGGCGGGCCGGGCAGATCTCAACTAGGAACTTCGTTGAGTTCCCCGCTCAGGGACGGGCGCAAAAGTGCAATCCCGGCCGGAGGGCGTGCAGCGCCGTCCAGGAACCGGTGGGGGAGGCGCAGGAATTTGGGGGCACCGCAGGGAGTGCTCGCCGCCCAGCTCCCACCCGGGGAACCCAGCCTGGCGGACCCCCAGCCCCCTCCCCCCCGGGAAACCACCACCCCGTGTCCTAAAGAGTGATTGCTGCAAACAGAGTCGAGGACGCCTTTTGATTTTATTATGTTGAAAAAAGAAAAAGTGACTTTTCACAACTTTTCTATTGCGGGTTATGCTCGGCACTGTCTTTGTAAAACCTACCACGCAGCGCACACTGCGGACTCCGTGCTCTTTTAAAGTATTCTGCACTGGTTTCGTGGGACCATTTGAAGACAAAGGGTCGGTGGTCCAATCCGGAGGAAAACCACGTTGTTTGAAATGAAATCCAAAGTTACCCCTTCCCCGCCTCCCTCGCCCTGGCCCCCCGGGCGGTGGCCGCAGCCCGGAGGATCGCAGGCCAGAGAGGGCGCATTCCGTTGAGGCGCGCGTTTGCCCTACTGTCCCTGGCTGTGGGAACCTCCATTCAGCGGGGGAAGGGAACGCGTTCATTCAGGAACCGCCGCGCCGCGGCGCCGACAGGAGAGGCACCGCGGCTGCGCTCAGCCTCAGCCTGGGGGTTCTCTGGAGGGGGCTGCGGACCGAGGGGTGACCATCGGGCGTAGCCTTCCGGCACCTGTCCTCTCTCCTCTCCCTACTGGGGAACGGCGCGCGGGCGCACCCAGGTGGGGGTCACCTGCAGGCGCATACCTGGCGGCGACTTGAGAGGACTTGGCTCCGACCCCGCAAGTTTTCCATTGTTAAGCCCTTAAGTCGTACTGGAAAGCGCTTCCGAAGGCGGGCGGCGGGGTTCCGGGGGCGATCCGGTTTCCCTGCCCCCATGCTGCTCCCTTTTGGGGCACGCACGGCGGCCCACGTGCTTGGCGGCGCCGATCCTCGGTGCCTAAAGGTGTGGGCCGGGCGCACCGGGGCCCCGGAGCCCACCCAAGGTAGCCACGCGCTGAGAGCCAGGGCGACCGCACCCTATGCCACGGGACGAATTAATTTCAGCCATGCACAGACTACCCCCATTCCCAGGCGTCTGGCGGCGCGGCTGGGGCACCCCCACTCTGAGGTTACGGGCGAGGTGGGCGCGGGAATTTTAGAAGCAAACTCCAACACCTAGTGGGGCGCAGGCTCCGTCCGTCACCACGGAGAAGGTGCAAACGCTTGGGAGGTGAAATATTTCCGTCCCTCGACCCCTGTCCCTTTAAAACGTGTTCTGAGCAAAATGAACCCCGAAATTCACTAGACAGTGTCGGGCCTGCAGACATAGACTCGCAGCGGGGAGTGGACACCTAGCTGGAAAGTCCTCCAAGGCAAAGAACTCAGGCGAGATGGGGCATTGACCTCGGAGGCCACGTCCCATTCAAGGTTTGAGGGGACTTCCCGCCCCGGCAGGGCGTGCGGGGCCGCTCCGGGACTCGCGGGGTCAAGGAACCTTCGGCGGCGGCTTTCCAGGCGGAGGGTCCAAGCTCAGAGCGTCGTCGTTGGCGTCCATGCGCCCCAGTCCAAGGGGCAGGGCGTCCCTCCCCCGCCCCCCTTCCTGCCCCGCCTGTCACCTGCCCTTTCTTGAAGATCGTCTGCAAAGGGAACCCGCACCCTACGCCCTTCTAGTCGGTTTCCTCTAGTGGATCTGACCCCAAAGAGTTTCCACGCTTAGCCTTGGCCCTAGGGGTGAGTGGGAAGACGCGGTCTCTTATGGGAAGCTTCGGAGTACATCCCAGTAGTTTCCCGAGGGGGTGGGAAGAGGATGTGGAATGAGCTCCCCCCCCCGCCCCCCGCAGGTGTCGGGGGAGGTGTGCAAACCTAGCTCCTCGCACCCGTTCCCTAGGACACACGGGCCCGCGCCGTCGGGGGCTGGTAGCGGGACCTGAGTTGTAACCCACTGGGGGACTTGAGTGCTCAGGGAGGGGTCTCAGGGCCCGGTTGGTCTGCGCTCTGCCCTCCAAACCCGCGGGGTGCCCGCGTCCTTTAAGGGTATGGGTCCAGGGGGAGGCTCCGCTACGACGGGGGTCGTGCGCCCAGACCAGACCGAGGCTCTGAGCCGAGCGGGTACGCGCCGCGCATTCCGCGCATTCCCGCCAGGCCCCAAGGCCGCGGCCACGTGGTTGCTTCAGCGCACCGCGCTTACCGTAAGGCTTGGAGAAGGCGCGCACTCTCACTGCCAAACTCTGGCGGACCTCCCAGGATGCGGAATGCGGCAGTTACTGTCCCTTCACCCTCCCCGGCCTTCCCCCCCCCAGAGGTCACTTTTCCATGTGATAAAGAGAGTCCTGCAGCAGGCGTAGTAAGTCCATTTGTAAAGGACCGGCGGGTAGGAGGACGTGTCTGCAGTAGGGTGACTGTTCACCGGAGGAACGCTACAGAACCGGACCGGTGACGATTCCACCTTCCCAGGAGTGACAGAAGGCACAGCAGCCGCCTGACACTTTTCTTTTCCTTATTCATCAAAATCGGTCGTGGCTTAGTCTCTTGTACAGCGCTGAAGCCAGAAGGGTTAGCAAAATAGTCCGTAAATAGATCATTGAGAAAATAAATTTAAAATAATAATAATAATAATAAAAGGTCTTTTGTGCGGTCTCTTTTTCTCAGTTTAGTGTTAGGTGAAGATTTAAAAAAAAAAACAAAAAAACCAAGAATGAGTGCATCACTGTATTCTTCTCAGGTCAGGTAAATCTCCACCTCCCTGTAAGGGATTTACTCTAAGGATGCCCATGGAGATATCCGGTACCCACCTTCCCCCCCCCCCCCCATTAATCTCGTGGCAGTGGATGAGAAGGAGAGGCTGGGTCTAGTAAGCCCCCCACCCCCACCCCATGCGCCTTAAACAGACATCTTGGTTAAGTGCTGTGCTGCCCACAGAAAGAAAGGTCGGAGGTTCGAGCTCGACCTCGGCTCTTGTAAACACTGAGCAATCTGCTCCTGTGAAG